TGATGAAAAGACATATTATTGATAAGATGGCAATAGTACACAATGCAATGTGGAAATTCAATGTGTTCCTGAGGAAATTCACAAAGGCCTTTGGAAAGAAATGCACAATAAAGTGAAACTAGTGAACACCCAAGAAGCCCACTGGCCTTATTGGTAGAGCGTTACTCCCTGGGAAAACAGACGTGCCTCACAAAAAAGCAAAACGACAACCAGAAAACTCCAGACCCCCCCGGCTCCCCCACTGCTAGCAGGCCTGCCCAGGTGACACAACCCAAGGATCTGCTGGTGCCTGTGGGGCTCACCTGGGCCTGAGCACAGAAGGAAGCCACCGAGCCACACGTGGAGGAGCATGAAGCCCACAAAGGCACTGCACACCTTGGATCTCCCCAAGCCCCATGAGGGAGGCGGGCAGGGACCATCACCAAGAGAAAGCACAGGAAGCTAGAGCGCATGCAAGCAGGGGAGGGGCAGCAGGCTGCAGGCCTGCCCAGCACCCCCCGCCCCAGGGCACCACCTACCACCACCCACAAAGGCCCACCGACGGGGACACACAGGGCCGAAGTGAAACCGTGCGTTAAATCCAGGAACCCGGACCAGGAAGAGCCACAGAAAAGAGCCCAAGGCCCAACACCCACTCAGAAAGAGCCACCAGGGACCAACGAGGGGCCCACAGGAACAGGCAGCACCAGGCTGTACACCCCCAGGTCTAAATACCCTTGAATGGTCACATCTCCCAGAACTGAAATTTAAAGTAGAGGAAAAAACCAACTCCAGGAGATGGGGCGGGAACCAAACAAAGTGAAGAAAACATGCCGGCTCCTGGCCACCGCTGTCAGACTCCCACCGACCCCCTCCTTCCCGCAGAGCTGACTCATGACCCTAAAATCGAGGCCCGGAAAGGCTTCACACAGAAACCCTCAGGCTACAGAGGAGCACTGTCTGGCCCAGTTAAGCTTCCAGAAAAGCCTGGAGAGGTGGGCGTCGAGGTGAGAGCAAGTCCCAGCCCCTCCGCAGGGCTGACCCCTCGCTTGCAGGAGGTGTCCCCACCGGCCTGCCCTCCGGGAGGCCCGGGGCAGCGATGCTCAGACCCCCTCCTCCCCGCCCTCGGAATCTGCCACTCCGCTGTGCGTCATGATTCCTCAGGAAAGACGATGGGCGGGAGGAGGGATTCCTCGTTCTAACGCGGAACCAAACGTGCTGAGTTTTACTTCTCCGCCATCTTAGAGAGCATCCCTGTGATCTACTCCGACATGTAAGGACCACGTCGTCCTGAGCAGAGCACACATCCGGTCCCCCTCTAAGATGGGACGGGCAGGGTTTGCAAGGCACAGTGATGCCCCCTGCCCCCCGAGGAAGCAGGAAGGTCAACAGCAGGTCTCCCTGCTACTGTAAGTGGAGAACACATCAGTGTCCCCCTCCGGGGCAGCGAGTGTCCACCCAGGACCCACTTGCAGCTCAGTCCCCATCAGCGATGGACAGTCCTCCCCAGCCACGCCCACTGAGCCCTTCGCAGCCAAAGGCGCAGGCTCCCCATTATGCCAGCGGCACCCTAGACCAAGCAAAGGGCATCTGACTTCAGATACAAAGGTACAGATACCTCAGACGCTGATTAAGAAAGTGAGGACAGTCGAAAGGTAAGCAGGAGGCGCGGGGAAGGCCAGCCGGAGACCCCTGCTGCAGCATCCCGGAACTTTCAGGCTGCCATCTACCCAGGGCTGAGGGCCAAAGGCGAGGGCAGCCAGCAGGCCCTGTGGACGCTGCGTGGGGTGACGTGAGCTCCCACGGTGGCGCACCATAAAGGGACAGGCACCGACACAATGCCGGCAGTGGGAAGGGCAGGCAGCACTCTGATCACACTGGGCCCCGTGAAACACAGCGTCCAGGCCCCAGAAACACAACTCCGCTCCGAGGAGCACAGTCACATGAAATGGCACTCACAGGTCCCTCACCTCAACAGAGGCCTGGCCTGGCCCTGGGCCGTGGGGCCGGTGCAGGGACAAGACTGGGGCAGAACATGGAGGAGGGGAGAGCCCGCGGTCACCAGGCCCTGAAGACACCTCAGTTTAGCTCAGCAACATTCACGTAATGACACAGGACCCCAAAGGGAAACAAAGGTAATGGGACATGGTCCCTGCCTTGGGGGAACTTGCAAACCACGTAGATGAGGTGTGCAGTCAGCCAGCCCAGCCCACCCGGCACCTCCCCTCGGCTGGGATGGCCCCACCTCCTAAGCCTGGAGCCTCACCCTACCGGTAACCTTAGAGACATCACCTCCTCCCTGAAGCCTTCCCTGACACGTCCTGGCCCTCCTCAACAGGACTGAACTGGGACTTCTACCCCTGGGTGCTTCTGGGTCCTGTCCATCACTCCAAGGCTCCATTCCACCCAGGGAGGTGAAAGACTCAGATCCTTGTGTTTCCCCACTAGACTGCCTGCCAGTCAACACATCTGCGCCAGGCCCAGCCCAGTAAGAATGAGGGCTGACGTGGTCATCTTAGCGCCAACACCGAGTAAGCCATCCCCACGACTAACAGCCCACCAAGGGAACTGAACACAGGCCCACGAGTTCTGCACACCACTGCCAGCCACCCGTGGGGTCGGCCCCCTGAGAGGCCACCTCGGGCTCCAGAGCGGCCCTCTCCCTCTTGGCACTGTGCACGGTCGGGCCAGAGAGTCCCCTGGGGGCCAGGCACCCTGGTCTCTGCCCACTTCATGCCAGGAGCACACACTCCCTGCCCCAGATGTTAACAGGAAAGGTCCTAACACAGGACCTCATGTCCCCTGGTGGCGGCATCACCAGCGAAGAGGCCCTGCTCTCTGTGGGGAGGTCAGCAGCTAGCAGCAGGCCCTGGCCTCAGACGCCCTGGACTTGAACCCTACCCCACCGCTCAGCATGCTGGGCGAGCCACGTGACCTCCCTATACCTCCCCCGTAAGCTCTCTCCTAGACTGGCTGCAAAGTCAGAGGGATCTGTTCATGACGAGGGCCCGAGACAGTCCCTGCCCCACAGTAAGCAATGGATAAACACTAGCTGCTATCATGAAATGAACTGCTCACAAAAAGCCTGCTCAGAAAGCAAAGGAAAGATGGTTGATGCGCAAGCGGGTGGAGGCAGAGGCAAACACAGTAATCGGCCCCTTCCCCAGCATGAGCCGCTTGGGGCATCCTTCACCTGGCTTTTACAGGAGGAGGCCACCCCAAGGCTCCCCACCCTGGCAGGATGCAGCCCAACTGCATACGTGGCCATGGGCTGAATGCCGTGAGGCCCCAAAGTCCGTATGCGCAAGTCCTTCCCCAGTCGGGACGGTGTTAGGAAGAAGGGCCTCAGGTTTAGAGGAAGTCAGGAGGGTGGGGTCCCCTGATGGGATCGGTGCTCCTGAGGAGTCACGAGACAGCCTGTTTCCCCTCTCTAGTCTCCCCCATGATGGGATACTGTGAGAAGGCAGCTGTCTGCGCCCCGAAGAGAGCCAGGACCCAACCGTGTTGGCCGCCTGACCTGACTTCCGGCCTCCAGAACGAGGAGACCTAACTTTCTGCTGCTCATGCACCATCGGCCTGTGGTGCTCTTCGCAGCAGCCCCCCGGCCTGAGAGAACAGGAGCCTGCCCGCTCAGCCGAGATGGGCCCCCACCTCTACGGGTGCTGAGGCCCGCCCCCCAGCAACTGCTCAGATGGCAGGTGTCACAGAGGCTCTACCCAGGCCCCAGAGGCGTGGGGCACAGCAGAGGGCAGAGGAATCCGGGGCACCTGCCAACTTGAACAGGCACCCAGGCTGAGGGCACTGCCCGGCCGGGGCGCGCAGGCGGTAATCGGCATAGGATGCGTCAGTCTCGGGGAACCCCGACCCACTCGCAGAAGCCCTAACCAGATTTTCATTTTTAAACTCAAATACTTTGAAGTTCAGCCTATTTTGGAGAAAAATAGTTCAGATTCCAATATGAAAACTGGTCAAAGGAACTAATTCACAGCGGTCTCACCCACGAAGACGTGTGATGTTCCAAACATTAGTCAGCTCCCGGGAAGGGTTTCTGAAAACTAGACAGGGGGATGAACGCCAGCTCCGTGGTCCCAGCAGGGCAAGCTGAGGCTGCCCGATGCCCTCTTCTCTCCTCTGTAAACAAGGGGCAGTCCCCCTGACCCCCAGAGACCCTGGGAGAGGGAGGCCGTGAGTCCGCCGCGGTGCAGGCCGGCCCCTCTGCCACCAGCTCCCCACGCCTCACTGCCTCACCTCACTGATGCTCACGTGTCACCTTCTCAGGAGGGCATCTGGACGCTCTGACTGAAGATTACGCCCCAGGTCCAGGCTGCAGTCGCCACCTCCCACCTCTGTCTCGACCCAGGGCGCTTGTCTCCTCCCCGCACGCTCCAGGCCTCCTTACTGACCCAACGTGTAGGTCGGTGCTTGTCCCCCTCACCAGAACACACACTCCAGGCCAGGGACTGGGGGCACCCCAAGCCCTAAGAGTCTGGCCCATCACAGAGGCTCATCAAATACTGGGTTGTTTTACATCATAGACACCCCCAAAAACAAAAAGCAAAACTACTGAGAGCCGTCTCCAGAAAGGCTACTGAGCACCAGGCACGGGGTACAAGACATGCGCTGATCGCATCCTTGAGTTTATGACCTGGAGGCAGTCATTCCACACCCCAGACTCTGCCCCCTACAGACTCTGAGCCACATGCTGGTGTCCCGGCGGGGGAGGGGGTGTCATTGGAAGCTGCCGAAGGAGGTGCAGCCTCTGAACATGCAGTTGGCCTGGCCCCTGAGCTGGAAATGTCCCCCTGGGACAACCGGGGCACACTTAGAAGGGAGACACAGTCCCCTGGGGCCTGGTGCTCACTGTGGGCCTCTCACAGCCAGGCCACGAAAGCCACACACCACACCCTCCACCCGGAGGAGAGAAGCACTCAGCTGGGGACACAAAGAAAAGTCTATGGCTTCTCCTGCCTGGGAAGGCCTGTGGGCATGTGGATCACAACCTCAAGGTCTTCCAAGGGCACGAGCTCCTGTGGCAAAGAGGACGGAACGCCCGCTAACCTCCCGCACCGAGAGGCCTCCAGCCCCTCTCCCTCGCAGCACTGCACATCATCTCCTCGCGCCCCCGCCCACCTGCAGGACAGGATGTGTGGCTCTCGCTGATGGACTTCACCAGCCGGAGGTCACCGCTCGGGACCGAAGGAGGCTCTGCCGAAGGCTGTGGCTCCTGCTCGGGGCCCGGCGCCTCCTGCGGCTTGCGGCGCTCCTGCCGCTGGCTGTGGTTGCGCAGGACGTGGTGGGCCGTCTCCATGACCACGTCGGTGTTCAGGCTCTCGGCTGCCACGGCCAGGAGCCCGTCATCGTCCTCGCCGGCATCCCAGGCGTCGCTGCTGTTGCTCTCAAACTGCTGGAAGGTGCTGATGCTCTTGGCCTTCACGGGTGTGGCGGGCGCCTTGGGTGCGCCCTTGAGCAAGCTGCAAAGCAAAGGCAGACTTCAGCTCTCCCCTCGGAGGCTGGAGCGGACTCACCCCACGACCGGTCAGAAAGGAGCCCATGGATGAAAGGTGCACATTCAAGCTTCCAGTGTCAACTGAGCTGAGGGTGAAGAGCAAGCACAACCCAAAGAGGCATCCGAGAGAGGACTCCTGGGGCACCCAGGGGGCTCAGTCAGTTAAATGTCTGCCTTCGGCTCAGGCTGTGATCCCGGGGTCCTGGGATCGAGCCCCACATCGGACTCCCTGCTCGGTGGGGAGTCTGCTTCTCCCTCACCCCCCTCCCTACCCCCCCACTCCTGTGCTCTCGCTCTCTTTCTCAAATAAATAATCCTAAAAAAAAAAACAGAAGAGGACTCCTAGGATTCGGGGGCAGGAAGGAGAGGCTCTCGAGGGGCAGTACCGCCATGTATTAGAAGAGAAGAAATGGAAGACCATCGGTTAATTCCATAAGGAGTTGGGTGTCAGTGAAGTGCTTCCTCCTTAGGAGATCTTCAATATTTACTTATTTTCAACAAACAGAAGATTTGCTATTCTGCGAGGGTAAAAACATCTCTTCTGGTGATGAATATTAATTCTCTCTGAAGTTTACCCCCTACATCAGAGAAACTAAAATGAGGACGGGTGGTTTGGTTAACATAGAGCAACTGAGTGCCTACTCCGCGCCAGGAGCTATTCTGGCGGGGGGTGGGGGGTGGGCACAGGTTTCCTCTCCTTTCCGCAGCCGCCGTCTTAGTGGCTCTAGCGCTGGGGCAGCTGGGTCCCCCTTCTTTACCCCACTAGAGTCTGCAAAAAATGTCTGCTTGACTCTCTAAGTAAGGAATTAATTCAAGGCTGTCCTTTTTCTCTTCTGAGACACGAGAAGGATGAAAACGTGGGAGTTTTTTTACCCTGTGTCGAGTCAAATGATGTTACCATTTGCCACATGTACAACATGTTGTTTATGGTACAGTCAATTGATCATGACTCCGGAAACCAAGTGATAGATGGGCCGTGGCTGTAGCAGGAGCACAGAAACAAGGAAAAATCGCCATAATTAACGTACGGAGGCACACTGATGCAATTTTGTGTCTTCCTTTATTTAAACAACTTTCTAAATTTAAGATGATTCCTTTAATTAATCATAGAGTGAAGGCTTTTTAGTTTCCAGTATTTATCTCTGCCTTCAAATCACTTAAAAAAGACAGCTGTGGCTGTTAGTAGCAAGAAGTGCGGAGGCGACGGGGAAGATTAAAACCTGTGTCAGAGAATACAGCCATAGGTGTGCCACCCTCCCTCTGCATACACACACCGCAGGACCTCTGTGCTCCTGGCATAAGAGCATCCTTAAGAATGGCTCTTCCTTCCTCTCCGTGAATTAAATCCTACACTTTGCTAAACGCTCACATCAAGTCTCCCTTCCTCTGAGCAATTTTCTGCCCCTACTCCTGTCTCATGGAAACATAAAAGTGCATTTCATGAATACTCTTCAGCAATGGCAGAGTTCAAAATCTTATTTTATCAATGAGTAAACCAAGCCTGGGAGAGAATGAATAAATAGCACAGACACTATCATGTGGTAGAACCAAAGCAAAACCCAAAGTCTCCCGTGTCCCAGCTAAGGGCTCATTCCAGGAGACCACACTCTCCTTCTTATCACGTGAGCCCTCATTCATTCAGACTCTGCGTTAACTGCCCTGAACTTGCTTGCCATCAGAATGCCTCTGCTTCAGGTATGTGGCATGTGACCACCCAGTTAGCATGCAGGTTCCTTGAGGGCAAGGACGGTGCCTTTCATGTCCTCTGCATGCACTTAGCGAGGAGTCACTGATTTAAGGACCGGTGGGTTTAATGAGATAAATCTCAGATCACACTGCGTCGGAGGCTTCCTCCCAAGAACCCGCGGGTCGCCCACTAATCTCACACAGCACATGTCTTCTGATTGAATTTCCAGGCCCCCCCTGTGCTTTTGATTAACTTCTGTATTTTTCAGCCATTGTATTGCCAAAGCATCCATTTTGTTTCCCCAGGTGGGATATAGAACTGTAGGTAAGAGGCAGTTAATAAGCTTAACAGGTAGGGACAGAGGCTCATTAATGGTTGCTCTGTGATTTGTGGCCAGTCCCCCCAGCACCTAAATCTTGAAATAAATATATTCAGAGACTCCGCTATCCCAGAAGAGGACATGGATCATTTTTCTTTCATTAACAATGGAGCCACTGCAGGAACATTTTTATTTATACGCACATTTCCAAGCCTAAAAGCTTGTCCCTTTAAACCTGCTTGCACTAAATTTTGATCAGCCCTTGATGAAAGACGACTTATGGATCGGAGACAACCTGGTAACCATCTGTGCCCAATGCATATTAAAGGAAATGTAAATTCACAAAAGGCTCCCCAGCATATATCAGTTTATCCACCCAGGGAAAACAGAGGATGATTACATAATCTGGGACCAAATCTCCAGATTCCAAAGGGCCATGTTAATGAAGAACTTAAAGCAGAGAGGTGTCTTCAAAAAAAAAGAAATTTCTAGATAAAAGGTGGATCCAACTTTCCCCCCTCTCTCTGGTTATCTATCTGATGTGCGAGGCACTTTGGAGGTTTGCGTCCAACCATAAGACCACACGCACGACACACAAACACACATATAAATACACATCTCTGAGCCCTAGTGAATGAGGGTCCAGGCAGGCATAATATTTTATGACCACCTTCTAGTACCACACCCCTTCCTTCTCCCTCCCTTGTCGCACTACCCTATGACCATAGCCTCGGAGCTGCTCTGGCCCCAGGTTGCTAGGTATACAGTATGACCCAAACTGAGGCAATCATCACATCCCTCTCTCCCAACCCTTTTACCCGCACGGACTTAATCTAAACTAATCAGATTCCTTTCTGTGACTTTGGAATTGGCACTGAGAGGCCCGGCTCAGTTCAGCAGAACTGAGGGTTTTGCAAAACTGGGAGCTAAGAGGTGGCGCTCTTCCGCCACGTGCTCAAGAAATAGCAAACACTGGTGCACAGAGAGAAAAAATAAAGCAGAAGCACAGTGGCAGGTGGAGAGCCAGAGCCTGGCAAGTCCTGGAGTGAAACAAAGAGAGAAAGAAATTGTGTTGCTTTCTGAGCATTTTCCAGGTGCTGGTCCTGGCCTGCCCTGGGCCCCAGCCTAGCCACATGTTCTTCCCTTTGGTTTCAGGCAAGAGCCCCATTCTCTTAGCATCAGTCCAGCATTCTGCCTGGTTTGTGTGCAATCACAAAGAGCCTTTGAGGAAGACCCCTGGCCAAGTGAGGGCAGGGCCCAGTCCAGACTTCAGGGCCATGCTGGGCTGGGAACCTGCCCACCACCTGGCCTGACCAATGCCTGGCCCGTTTCAGAGCCAGATCCTCTTGCTGCCTCTGAAAGAATCTCTTCAACGCTCTCTTTGCCAGAAGCTTGCGGAGCTAGAAGACAAGCACCAGGGCTGAAGGAGAGAGCCTCTGGCAGAAGTGGGAGCAAAACCAGAGATGGCTGTTGACAACAGCCTCACTCCCTAGCTGGTCTCAAACTGTAACTTACTGCGGATCCCCTGAAGTGTCCCTGAGTTCTGCCCTGGGGTCAGGGACAAGGAAGCAAGCCCAAGTCCCTACCATGAGCAGGCGGTCACGCCTGGTCACACCAGGCTTCAGCGCCAGGGGCTAGAACACAATCCCCCTGACACAAAGCCAGAAGGAAAGATAGGTGGGTAACTCCCTTGCTCTCCACCACCTTGAAGGCCTATTCTTTCTTTCAAAGGTATTTTATTCACTATTCTAATTTTATGAGAAGCTCAATACCCAACCTGGTCAAAGTTGTGTCTTTCCTTCGTTCTAACACATATTCTAGGATATGATCACTGAACTGAAACCTCCCCAAGCAAAGCCAAAGCATGTCCACTCCCAGATTCCTCTGAGTCACCCCATCGCCCATCTGCCCCATCTCCCCCACCCCCCCTTCTTTGATAAGCCTCCCCATTCATTCTGCGGACTGCCTGAGCCAGAGGGAATGATTCAGTCCCACCTGGGACACCTTATCCTTGGAGGGCTAAATACAAGTTAAGACTCGTGACTCTTTTCAGCTCTAATCACAGACTAATTTCTCTGATAAAGCCACTCCAGATTTCTATTCAGCTCAGACCCTTGGCATCAGGCCTTGGAGCTGTTCTGGGCCCTGGCTGCAGGGCAGATCCTGTGACCCCAGCTCAGGCAGTCACCATATCCCTCCGCCTCCAGACCTTTTTACCTGCTTTGTTTTGATTATCTTAAAATCCTGCCAAACCCATTAGGGCTAATGCTTAGCTGAAAGCAGCCGTGACCTCCTGTCAGAGCTTGGCACTGCAGAGCCATCCGTGACTAGGAGGAAGCTCCTGATCTTCTCTGAAAGGGGCCAGCAGCCTTTGCTTCGAAAGGGAGGAAGGTGGGAAGCAACAGTGGAAAAGGCACCTCCCACCCAAACCGCTGAAGCCAAAAGCTCCCCTCCCCCAACAGCTCAGGCCTCAGTGGGAAGGACAGAAGCAGCTGCAGAACAAACAGCAGCCTCCTGATTCAGAAAGTTCCACAAGCACTCTCCGAGTTTGTAATCAAAACAAAAGCACACCTGTGCTTTGGCAAGCTTCAGAGGGGTTAGGAGTAGGAGCAAGAGCAAGGTGGTGAAGAGAGCAGTGCTTTGAGCCTAGAGCTGCTCAGATACACCACAGCAATCTGGCACCATGGTGCTTGGTGACCTTGAGGGGTCACCCAACGGACCCTTGACAGGCGGGAGATTCACAGTTGATTTACCTGCAACGAGGGTGCCCTCAGGAACTCGGCGCCCAGTCAAAGACCCTCACGGCCTGTCCTTCCGTGGCTTAGTGTTGTTCCACTTTAACATTGAACAAAAGCTTCTGTAAGCCTCCCCTTCGTTCTTGGCTCCAGAATGTCCTTCCCTCCCCCTACTCAAATCTGGCACATTCTCTAAGACCAAGCTTCAGTTACTTTTTCTCAAAGCCTGTCTTGGCTACCTACTGGAGCCTTCAAGTTTCCTCCTACAGCCCTTTCAGATGGCTGCACACAATTTTGCAGACATTTTATACTCCTTTCTATTGTTCTCCATTATTATGTCTGTGTTATCGCTGTATCCCTCCATATTATAAGCTCCTAGAGCCCAAATCATTTCAGCACACTCTTGGATTTCCATGACTGATTAGAAAGAAAAATAAATAAAACAGCGACAATACACATCCCAGGGAATGGTTTCGCACTCCTTACCATTCATACTCCGAGTCAAGAGAACACAGCACTCTGTCATTTCCAAAGGTCACAAAAAGGTCACGTGACCTTGGTCAGCCGACGGAGGTCTGGCAAGCCTTGTCCATATGGATGTCCCTGCTGTCTATTTCTGTGTAATCCTCCCCTCAGTGAGGGAGTCAGTGGTACAAACAGTGGTGCCTTCCAATCCATAATTGCAGCATCTTTCTTTAGTCCCAACCATGGAGTAGCTCTGGGTCTCCCGTTTTGGCAGCCAAAGGCCTTATCTGGCTCCTTCCAACTGCAAGAAAGGGTAACAGGACCATGAGCCTCCTGCAGCTGCGGGGATGGACCACAGGAAGCTGGTAATCACTGGAAATGATCACAAGGACTCTTCCTGTTTGCTTCACCTTGAGTGTCCTTGGAGGGCCAGGCCCTGTTGAGAGAGAGTTGGGGAAATTGGAAATGAGGCTTTGAAATGAAATTCTGAGTAGAGCTAGCTGAGTAGACCCTCACAGATAAAAAGCCCTAAACAACAGAAAGACAGCACGCCCCACCCCCACCTCACTCTCCAGGACCCACACAGTCATGCCTGGCTGTGGCCTGTCAACAGTCCCACCTTCCACCTGCCTTAGGAAGCAAGGCACAGGGACCCTCCTGAGCCTCGGACACACTGATCACTCGCAGGGGTTGAGGAGGAAAAGAAAGAAAGAAAATCCATTCAAAGTCAGATTCTAGCAGAGTCCAAATAAGAGGACTTAGATTTTTTTAAAAGTAAATTTAGAAGGACCTAGGACCTCAGTCATTGGCTAATTTCCCTGTACTCAATCCATATGGACAATATATGTTTAGGCTCAAGTGTTTCTAGATTGGGGTATGAAGTGAGGAAATATTATATCTTTTATTTCACCCTGAGGAGGACAAACCAATTCCCAGGGGCAGCATTGTTGGGGAAGAGGAACATAGCATTAAAAAAAAGAGAGAGAGACAGAAAAAAATAGAAATGAACACATCCAAAAATGTCTCTAAGACTTCAGTAATATCTTTGTGTGTACCTTTGACAGAGCTCTTGGCTCTAAGAGGCCTAGCCAGGCCTCTTTTGACTCGGGCCTTCTTTTTCCTAGAAATGCCCTGTTATCTGCTCACCGCCTCCCTCACACACCACACTCCAAGACTTCTGCACACCATTCAGCTCCTCACGACTCACACACCAGCCTAGCAGCTCCACGGCTGTCAAGAGAATTGCCTGTTATCAGGCTTATGTGAGATTAAATTTAGTCATTATCTTGGAAGAGAGTTATCTCATGTTGACAAAATCCCTCAGAATTCACTGTAGAGAACTTTAATTTCCACATTCAAATGAGATTTGAATTTGATCAGGCATCAATTAAACACTGTGCATTACTCAGTGACCTAACTTCTGAAGAAGAGGCACTGCCTGCTCTCTGCTCATTCAGGTCCAGGGTTTTTCCTCCTAAAACCATCCTCGGAGACTATAGGTCAGAATCGGAAATAATGGGCAAGCCATGTGCAATACTACATGTGGGTTTGATTGCTGCTTTTAAAAAGAGCCTCAGCATCCTCAATTATAGGCTCACTTTCGTCAGTCAACTCAGTCCCCACGGGGACAGCACCATGTGGCATTTAAGAGCAACCCGGCAGGCCTGAGTCCAATTCTGACTCCATCACATCTAGCTGTGTCAAACCAGGCGAGACAACGAACCTCTCCAAGTTCAGGTTCCTCATCTGTCCCCTGGGAAATAACAATGACGTAACAAATGCAACAAGCTTAGTACAAGGCCAGACATAGCTGAAGCACTCGATAAGCAAGAGCTGCCACTTATCCGTATTCGTCATTTTCTACATTTAATTATTTATTTATTTAATTGTCGGATAGTTGTGGAGCACCTACCAAGCCATTGTGGAAGATGATGGGGATAGAGAAATGAAAGTATGTGGCCTCTGCTCTCAAAGAGCTTATGGTTTGGGGGTGAGACATATTTCTTAGCAAGTTTATGAGATTGTGTGTACAAAGGGTTAGGAGAATATTGGAGCAGGGGCATCCAAATGTGGCTGAATAAATCAAGAAAGGCTTTATGGAGGAGGTAGTTGTTGAGCTCAGATCTGAGAGATCAGTGTGTGTTGGGGACACAAAGGCAGGGAGAAGATAAGGCCCCGCTCTAACTTATTTGTACCCAGAGCGAAGACCTGCTGTGATGGTTAATTTTATGTATCAACCTGCCTGAGCCACAAGATGTCCAGGTACCTGGTTAAGTATCATCTCTGGATGTGTCTGTGAAGCTGTTTCCAGAACAGATGAGCATTTCAATTAGTAGGCTGAGTAAGGCAGATTGCCCTCCCCACAGAGGGTATTCATCAACCAACCCACTAAAGACCCAAATAGAACAAAAAGCAGAAAGAAGTTGAATTGCTCTCTCTACCTGACTGCTGAGCCGAGACATAGTCTTCTCACACTGGACCTTAGACCATCGGGTGTTCCTGGTTCTCAGACCTTTGGACTCAGCCTGGAATTTACACTACTGTTTTTCCTGGAATTCCCGCTTGCAGACAGCACATGGTGAAATTTCTTAGCCTCCATAATCATGGGAAACCAATTCTTCTTTGGAAATCGTATATATATTTATTAAACATAAACATAAATATATATATATATGTTCTGTTTGTCTGGAGAACCATATCTGCACAGAGCAGATGCTCAATAAATGTTACCTGAAAGACAAATTAATGAATGGAACATTCTAGGATTATTGTCTTATTTTCAGGAATCAGATCAAATTTTGATGGAGAAAGGATTAATAAGGAGGAAATGGAAGTTCCCACATAAATCTGCTCCAGAGCCTTCTTATTTTCCCCTGGAAAAACCCCAAGACCCATTGGATCATCTCATACATGTTAGATCACAGGACATACCCAAAAACACTTTTCTAGGTCTGTGACTATCCCATAATTAGTTTATACTCAGGCGACATTGGCTCTTGCTGAACATCATCATTTTCACCTCCCAAAGCAGGGGGGCACTTACTGTAGAGTTTGGCTATGAATCTCTATCTCTGGTAGAACCACTCAGCACTTTTCAAAACAAAGAATTTAAACATATGGTTCAGGAATTCAGAAGAGCTAGAGCCAGTCCTCAAGTCTGTAAGCATACCTGATGTGGGAGCAAAAGAAGGGCTGGGCTGGTGGGTGGGGAATGGAGGACATCTGTGAGGAAAGAAGGCTTCTGCCAGGTTCCTCTAGGGAAAGGGAAATTGGATGGATGCAGGTACTTCCCCTAATCCTCTAGGCATTGCATTTTTTTAGTAATCATTTTGCTTTCCACTACACATGCACATCCTTATGGGTAGAAGCATTATCTAAATGTATATTCAATACTTGGTTTATTGTTGACACTCAAATATTGAACAATGGTGAAAACTGTGCACATATAAGCAGCATTTAGTTGGCTAATAAAGGTGAAATAAACATACCACATACCAGAAGAAGTCTCGTGAGGTGCCAGTCATGGGGACTCATCCATATACTCCCTGGCTGTTCAAGATCACACAGTAAATACAGTACACCAGAAGGCATGAACCACATGTTCTCCATATTCACTGTTTTTGGTAGGCACTAAAAGTAACTTCAGGATCTAGGTGAAAGGGCAGGGTAACGTGGCTGCATAACCCGTTAATTATGGGGTGGGGGGGAAGAGCAAGAATGCCTTGCTCAGTGGAGTGTCCCATGAAGGGTTTGTGAAGAGCTCTTTCCCAGGGAAAGAGCAATTTGGATGCTGTTCCCATTGATTCTCTTCTGCGTTTTTTCTAAGCTCTTCCGTGAAGAGGATTCTGAACAGAAATTAACCTCCAAGGGAAAAGTAGCAGCATCGATAATAAATTTTTTGTAACTCCATTTGTAGCTCCATCCTTCGTCTGACCTTGGGCATGAGTTAGGAGAGAGTTCCAGACAGAAGAAATGCATTTTGAAAGCTGGAGAGTCCTTTGTTGCTCACTTGAAAGAGTTAAGTCTGGGTCTCTCAGGCTGAACAGATTTCCCTGCCTATATGCTCCATTAAAACAATCGGGCTGCTTCTCTCTGTGAAATGACCATTTTTGTCACTCGGTAAAACTCCTTTTTCCTCAGAAAGGTCTCCCTGGCAATGTTAGCACGCACGTGAACTCTCGTTCTCACGTGTTGGTCAAGACCACGCTTGTTAATTAGATTCCATGGTGACTTGGATGCATGGTCAAAATCACTTTGCATTTGTCTCATTAACAACTTCACACTTAGAGTCAGGCTTCCTGTGAGTCTCAGCTGCCTGGGGAGGGTGATGTGGGAAGAACCAGAAAGGGCCCACCACCCTTGGCCAAAGATATCTGCACTGCCCAGGAGCTATGGGACCAGAAATTTTGCCATTTTCAATCTGTTTTTGCAGAGTTAGCATAACCTTCCCAAGGATTTCTATATTTTGTATTCAGCAAATATATATTAAGCATCTTTCATGCACGGGCCTTGTGGGCGACACAGCAATACAGTAGCCTGCACAACATAGAGTCTGTATGGAAGATGGATATAGATCTATAACCATAATCTAGGATAAAAAGTATAAAGGTCTTAAGAGAGTTTCAGATAAAATGCTATGGGAATTCAAAAGAGGAAGTTATTGATCACTTCTGACTCAGAGGATCTTTTGGCATTTGAGCTGAGCCTTATAGGGTGGGTATGATTTGGACCTAACTGGAAGCCATTCTAGAAGCACTGAAATTTATGAGCTTTTTTCCTATTTTTTAACAGTAAATATTTAAAAATAAATAAGTGATTTTGTTCCCCAGATTCATTTTCTCTGTGGCAAGAGAGGTCTGGGACTGGCAACCATTTCATCAGGTACCCCACCAAGCATTTCAAATAAAAGGGCACCAAATCAGTGGGAAAACACAAACTAGACCAGTGAACTTTCCGGATTCACGTTTTTACTTGTACTAAGCGAAACTTGGATATAAGCGATAGAAACAGATGTTTCTCATTAATGTCTTTGGGGGTTTATGAGCAACGGAGATATATTCAAACCTTATCCCAAAGTAGCAGGGGGCCCAAAACCCTGCCAATGGCTGAGTGTGGGGGCTTGGGAAGGGACTGTCCTCAGGCTGGGAGTATATGTAGGAAAGGTGGACTCGCTCTGGCCAAGGGTCCAGCTTTCGAGGGCTGTCAGTCCAAAGACAGAAGGTGTGATGTCACAGAGAATCTGGGGCACAAGGTCAAATCTGGCAGTTCCATGAGATAATGAGACTACTCACACAGCCTTTTTTTTGTTTAATCTTTTTTTTTTTTTTTAATTTCTGGTGATGGTAAAATATATGTAACATGAAATTTATCATCTTAATTATTTTTAAGTGTATAATAGTGTTAAGCTCATTCACATAGTTGTATAACCAGTCTCCAGAACTCTATTCATCTTGCAAAATCTTAACTTTACATCCATTAAGCAACGACTCTCCATTGGAGTTGTACAATATTTGTCCATTTCGTGACTGGCTTATTTCACTTAGCATAATGTCCCCAAGTTTCATCCATGCTGTAGTTTATGTTAGAAATTCCCTACTTGGGGGCGCCTGGGTGGCTCAGTCGTTAAGCGTCTGCCTTCGGCTCAGGTCATGATCCCAGGGTCCTGGGATCGAGCCCCGCATCGGGCTCCCTGCTCCGTGGGGGGCCTGCTTCTCCCTCTCCCTCTCCTGCTGCTTGTGTTCTCTCTCTCGCTGTGTCTCTCTCTGTCAAATAAATAAAAAAAAATCTTAAAAAAAAAAAAGAAATTCCCTACTTTTCAAGGCTGAGTAATATTCCATTGTAGGTATATACCTCATTTTATTTATCCATCCATTCATTGATGGACACTTGGGTTGCATCTACGTTTTGGCTATTGTGAATATTGCTGCAATTAATGTGGGTGTGTAGACCGTTTTTCGAGATCCTGCTTCCACCTATTTTGGATAAATATCCATAAGTGAAATTATTAAATCATATAGTAATTCTATTTTTAATTTTTTGAGGGATGACCATACTGTTTTCCATAGCAACTGTGCCATTTGACCTTGCTATCAGTAGTGCACAAGGGTTCCAGGTTCTCCATATCCTGCCAACACTTGCTATTTTTTGATTTTTTGAAAGTAGCTATCCTCATAGGTATGAGGTGACATAGGGCCTTATAAAATTGTGCCCAATGGACAAGCCTGCTCATGCAGGGAGGGAGCTCTTAGAAGTGGAAGTTGGTGCAATGTCCCTTAGCAAGCCTACAAAGTAAGGCAGAAGGGAGGCTCCCCAGGGAAGTGCTGCCTACATGGGTAAGATGGACTGGGCCTGCTCCGAAGCTCCTGAGATATGCATGTGCCACCACCACCATGCCTAACCCTTTCTCTTAGGCCTGATATCCAAGCAGAGAGCAGTGCCACAGTCACTGTCAAAGGAATCCCAACTAATGGGAGGCAATGAGAGAGACTGAAGGTAGAGCTGGTTCTATCCTGAGTCTAAAACATTCTTTAGGTCATAGGACAGAAACTTTTTCTGTGACATTGCATAATACAATTAGCCTATCATATTATATAACAAATTCTTGGAGGGAGGAGGGTACTGAATATTTGCTAGAACACTGATGTGGGTGTTTTGGGGAACCATCTGTTATTGAACTGCTTTGCTGGCCCATTCAGAGAAATCCCCAAGATTCTAAGTAAAAGCTTCAACTAACTGAAGCACGACTCCTTGGAATGTAGCTGGGCTCCTTTCTTGCTGGCATCTCTAACCCTGAGATCACACTGAAATTTCCCCCAAAGGTCACATTTTCTGTGTAATAGCTCACCATCTCTCAGCCAACTTGAACTCTGTCTACCCATGGCCACAATGTCCAGATGCTAGGATCCATCAGTGTAATCCGAAAACATAAGCATCCAAGCAATTCTTCCCCTGGTTCATAATGATATTTTGGGATACAATCTGCTATTTAAAACAGCTGTTGTTGATTTACTTGGGACACATGCTGAATTTACGTCAAACAGAATGTCATGCAAACTCCTCCAAGGAGTCCTAGGGGGTGGAAAAAGAAGAGCATAGAAGATAAGAACAGCATTTCTAAACGTTTGCCTACATTCAAAATTCTCCTGTACAAAATTTTTCAGACACTCTTGGAAATAATGTGTCTATCTAACTGATTTCAGATTTCCTATTTCATCATCCATGCTCCTTTGCTGATGTGAGCAAAAGAGAAAAAGGGGCAATTTTCCCTATTGACAATGAAGCACTAGTTACACTGAGGAAGCCTTTGATAAATACTGAAATAATAATGAAAAACCAAAAAAGACAATTCTTTATTTTCAAGGAGGCACCTTACCTCCTCAAATCTTCTCTCTTCTGTGTAACCTTCCTTTTGTCCCCTAATCTCAACCAGTTTCCATTATCTTTATCTTTCTGAAATTAAACCAAATTTCCTTAGTTTAATGAAGATTTGTTACGTACATAGGTTTATCGAGGACAAAGAACACATCAGAGTGTGAGCACTTGGACGACACAGAATGGATCTTTTAGCTTCCAATCACAAAGCTTGGAAGATGTAGGCTCTTCATAAATGATCAGTTAAGTTAAATGAAGCATGTGGTTAGTACTCCAGAAAGAGATAACTGAGGGACGCCCCAGTAGAAGTTTGTTTCTCCTTCACCACCATGTCCTCTTTTCTGCAGACTGCTATCTGCTCCTTTGGCTCAGTCCCATTATCACCTCTCCTGTCTTGCCATTGGCCTTCACTAGCCTCCCACCTTCCAGCAACCAGACCTCTTTGCTCTGCCTCAAGCTATCATATCCATCTGTGCACCAGGCCCTCAGTTCTGCTTTCTTTGCTATGCTGGGACCAAGCCTCAACATGGCTTACTCTTTTGTCAGCTCACTCTCCTCTATTCTAAAGTCTAATTGCTTCAACCTGCATCCCCATACTGACACATCTGTGTTTCAGGAAGATGACCAAAGAAGAAGAACCTAGATTTTTTATAGTTTCATCAAAAAGCCAATTCCAAAGAACATACAAGTGGTCAATTCCGCTTGTGATCTATGTACATTGACATATCTAGAAGTCCTTAGAGAGAAAAAACACAGGAGTTATAAAGAATCAGCCACTAAACAAATACTGCTACTCAACTATTGGAATAAAGAATAACATGTTGGAATTAGCCAATACAGCAGGCATCTTCTGGCTCCATAAAGAAGACCTAGTCTCCTTATGTACCAAAAGTCAAACATAACAAAATAATTTTTAAAGAAATGTAAAAGATGTGGTGAATTAACAAGGCGCAAAAAAAAAATGGCTGTGGAGCATATCTTAGTCTGTTCAGGCTGCTATAACAAAAACCACAGGCTGGGTAGCTTTTAACAACAGAAATTTCTTTCTCATAGCTCTGGGGGCTGGGAAGTCCAAGCTCAAGAAGCATGACCACATTTTGGTGAGGGTCCTCTGCCTGGCTCATAGCCAGGACCTTCTCCTTATGTCCTCACATGGTAGAAGGGATGAGGGAACTCTGTGGGATCTCTTTAACAAAAGCACTAATTCCATTCATGATGGCTTTACCCTCATGACCTCATTGCCTCCCAAAGGCTCTACCTACTAATACCATAATTTGGGAGGGATAGGATTTCAACATATGAATTTGGTGGGTGGGGGGTAGGGGGGCAGGGGGACAGGGGACACAAACATTCATACCATAGCAGAGAACTTACTGTATGCTATGTTCATTCTAGGTACTGAAGATCCAATGGTAAACTAAATCAGGAACTTACATTTATTGGGTAGACAGAGAAAAGCAAGTGACAACAAAAAAGGTATAACTTCAGATACTAATAGATGCTTTGAAGAACATACGATCAGGTTGAAGGATTGTGGTAAGACAGTGGGGGACAAGGACTATTTCAGATAGGATGGTCAGGGAGAGATTCTACATGAAAACTCTTGTAAAGATCTGGAAGAAACCCTTCAGACAGAGGGAAGAGAAATTGCAAGTATCCCGTGGAAGACATAAGCCTGGCATATTCCTGGAACTAAGAAAGCTCACATGACTAAACAGACTATGTAATGGGCACAGAAGTAGGAAATTAGATCAGAGAAGTAGGTAGAAGCCAAATTATATGGGACTCGTTGGCCTGATAAAGAATTTGAATTTTACCATAGATGTGATAGTAATGTGTTAGAGAATTTTGAATGAGAAGTGACAGGATCTGACTTAGGTTTCCAAAAGATCATTGAGACTGTGGTATGGAGATTGGATTTGGGGCCATTTCAAACCGAAGCAAGACAATCCATTAGGAGGCTTTTGCCCTAAATAAGAGCAGATGGTGAAGCAAAGGAATAATCATCTTGAAATTGAGGAGTAGCTAGATTTGAGATGTAACCTGAAGAGTGGACAGGACTTGCTTATGTATATGATTTAGGAAATGAAGGAAGCTGGGCGCCTGGGTGGCTCAGTTGGTTAAGCGACTGCCTTCGGCTCGGGTCATGATCCCAGGGTCCTGGGATCGAGTCCCACATCGGGCTCCCGGCTCAGCGGGAGGCCTGCTTCTCCCTCTCCCACTCCCCCGCTTGTGTTCCTGCTCTCACTGTCTCTGTCTCTGTCAAATAAATAAATAAAATCTTTAAAAAAAAAAAAAAAGGAAATGAAGGAAGCAAAAGATTAAAAGGCTACTCCTGTAATTTTGACCTGAATACCTGAGTAGATTTTTCTGGACATGCTGAGTTTGAGAAATGTATTAGACATTGGAGATGCCAGCAAGGCACCTTGATGTGAGTTTGGAGCTCAGAGGAAGGGCTGGGGCTGGAGACAGGAGACACATAATATTGAAAGCCATGAAACTAGATGCAATCACCTACAGATATAAAGACAGAGATCTGAGACGTGAACCCCAGAGCACCCCAGAATAGTGGTCAGAAAGAAAAGGTGGAATCAGCAGAGAAGCCTGAGAAGTAGTTGAGGTTATAGAAGGAATATCAGGCACTTGTGATGGCTAGAAGCCAAGTGAAGAGTGTTTCAAAAACAAGAAGTGAAAATGTATGTCAAATGATGCTGTGGGCGCCTGGGTGGCTCAGTTGGTTGAGTGACTGCCTTCGGCTCAGGTCATGATCCTGGAGTCCCGGGATCGAGTCCCGCATCGGGCTCCCTGCTCGGCGGGGAGCCTGCTTCTCCCTCTGACCCTCCCCCTGCTTGTGTTCCCTCTCTCGCTGTGTCTCTCTCTGTCAAATAAATAAAATCTTTTAAAAAAATAATAAAAATAGGGCGCCTGGGTGGCTCAGTTGGTTGAGTGACTGCCTTCGGCTCAGGTCATGATCCTGGAGTCCTGGGATCGAGTTCTGCATCAGGCTCCCTGCTCGGCAGGGAGCCTGCTTCTGCCTCTGACCCTCCCCCCTCTCATGTGCTCCCTCTCTCTCTCATTCTCTCTGTCTCAAATAAATAAATAAAAAAAATCTTTAAAAAAAATGATGCTGCAAGTTCACAAAAGATGAGGGCTGTCAGGTGACCAGTAGATTTGGTAATAGGGAAGTGATTAATGACTTTGCCATGATGGTTTCAAAGAGTAGTGAGGACAAAACCCAAGGGAATGAGTTAAAAAAGGGACTGAAAATTGATCAAGTGGAAGCAGAGTACAGACAACTCTCTGGGAATGTTGTCAAAGACAGCAGCGTAAGTGGGCAGTAGGTGGAGGAAGACGTGAAACTTGGGTTCAAAGACGTTTTTTGTCCATGTGGTTTGTTTTACGATGAGAAATATTATAAGTGCAAGCCTGTGGGAATCATCTAGTAGAGAGGAGAAAATTGATGGTAGATGCTATGGACTGAATGTTTGTGTCTCCCCAAAAGTCCCATGTTGAAGCCCTATTCCTTAATATGATGGTACTGGGAGGTGGGCACTTTGAGAGGTGATTAAGTCATGAGGGTGGAGCCCTCATGAATGGGATTAGTGCCCATTTAAGAAGATACATGAGAGAAATTACCTCTCTCTGCCATGTGGGGGTACAGCAAGAAGGAGTCCATCTACAAACCATGAGGCGGGCCCTCAGCAGGAACTGAAGCTGCCAACACCTTGGTCTTGGACTTCCCAGCCTCCAGACTCTGAGAAATACATTTCTGCTGTTTAAGCCACCCAGTTTATGATATTTTTGCTATAGCATCCCAAACTGGCTAAGACAATAAGGAATTGTTGGAGTTTAAGTGAGTCCAGTTCCTAAATAGATAGAAGACCTGGCTTTGATAGGACACATTTTTCTACTCCAAGTGCTTTTCTTTCAGAATACATATACGAGCTGCTTCCATTTTTTTCCTCCTTCAGTAAAGACAACCCTGTGGGCTATCTATGAAAGATAGGTTGGTTTTTTTTTTTTTTCACTTTTCACACAACAGGAAACTGAGACAATATGGTTAAGCAACTTGTCTGAAATCAAACAGCTAATATAAATATCAGAGCCAGGACTCATACACTGAGCTTCTGAGGCCCCATCCCTGGTTCTTTCTGCTTTTCCACACACCATGTGTGCAGTGGTAGGCAACGGAAGTGCTGCTCTCAGGAGGCCAATTCAAAGCCATTGGTTTAGTATCTTTTGGAAATTAAGTAAGGCAAACTTTTGACAAATTCATTCAAAACGAGTGTTTTCCACTTTGATCTGCACCTGTCTTTTCCCTAGCTAGCCTAGCCCAGAGACTCAGAGCTGACAGATGGTCGTTACTCTTACCAAGGGAGCACTCCTATCTCTTCTCTTCTGCCAGTCCTTCCAGATGCATTTCCTCTCAAATGACCGTCTTATCAAGGATATAGTTCATTCTGCTAACAAAGAGCCAAGGGACACGCTAGAAACATATTAGACAGCAGAGGGGAGATGGTCTGGAATTATCAATTTGCTGGGCCTAATGCTCAAATGCATAATTAGCAGTTGACAATTGTTCTGAGTTGGGCACAGTCTTATAATGGTCAGATCAAGGCATAGTCCACAGTACTCAAATCTGGCATTGGCAGTTTTCCTCTCCTTAATATAAATTAGGAAGCTGGAAGCTTTCTTTC